TAGTGTTTTACTACTGAAGATTTCCTTGCGTGTAACTGCTTTTGATTCAAACCTTAATTAAAACTGTTTTGCGTAAATAACAGCATACTTGTTTACTTGCAAAATATAAAGCTTTCGTAGACTTTTTATGTGAGCGTTTCGTGAGAGAGTAAAACGCGAGGCTTATTAATGTTGCAGACATTGTTTCTCGCTCTTGGTTAATAGATTGTTTTCTTGTTCTTTCCGCCGCCGGCGATTAACTAACTAATGTATTTGCCTTTCTCGCGGAAAATATAATTACGTCTTGTCGAAGAGACACGAAGGGGAGAGATCTCTCTTTGAGTCTGTGCCCGTTAGAAATATAAGATTCGCGCCATTAAGCCACTTGCCGCTTCTCTCGTTTGCAGCCGTGCGCTCGTGTCGCGCGAACAAGTGGAAATTAAAGCGCGCGCGAGAGTCTCTTTAGAAACGTGGTTCCGCGCGTGGAATGAAGCGAAGAAAGCGGGAAGGTGTGACTCAAAGAGCGAACAAGAAAGAGGAGAGAGAGAAAGGGAACGGGGGCGTTTATAAGAGGATGAACGCTCGGCAAAAGACACCGCCGAGTATCCGGGAGAAGAAGGAGGATCGTGGTTACGGGTCGAATGTTTGCGGCTTCGCTTTGTGAATTTGCGGGAGCAGAATAAATCGTATCGGAATGAAATTACTCTCGCGCGCGCTGTCTATTCGACCTTTCTTTCTTGTAACTAATCACTCTCTTGACGAAGTTTTTATGCTTCATCCATCTAACCTTTCTTTGCGCTAATTACTTTGGGCGATATTACCTTCGTGTTCCATCCATCAAATCCTTCTCTTCTCCGAGTTTCTTTCGGCATCGCAGGAAATATATATGAGATCGCGCGTGCGTCGAGTATACCTTCTGCAATATAAATAAGAAAGTTTATAAAATATTCTTTCGCACAAGTTTATAAATTACTAACAACGTCGTGTGTATATATCTTTACGACGAATAAAACTTTATATTTTTTATATCGTATCAACGATACACATTCATAATTGAAGCGAATGTTTATACACAGAAAAAAAAATGGAGTTGCTTCAATTAAAGTTGACGTCACGGGCTGCCACAAAAATAAATAGTTCATTCAATTGCGTATGCGATTAATTTAATGTCTAGATTCTTAAAGCAACTATCTGCTATGTATAGCGCAATAATATTGATGTTGCATTAACAGGATATATTTCAATTAAACTGATACTGTTGATTCAACATCATTTTTTTTTCCGTGTATATAATGAAAACTGTAATTTTTATTCTAAGATAATACAATAACGTAATACTAACGTTTAACAGACATGAAAAAAACATCTTTGTTGAAAATCGAAGCTTTACCTCACCCTTCACAACGCCGTGTAACTTTCGAGTCACATACTAATGTTCACATTGATGTTCTTTTGATCTAATTTCATTTTTAGCCACAATGTGGCGTACGCATCTTGTTCTGTCACCTCTCTTTGATAACCATGGAGATTGTTTATCGCAATTGTCAATAAGAATAAATAAATAGAAGAAAATAAAATTCTTGAAAATTTATTAATTGTTCACTTATATCCGGAGATTGATATTTTGTTTTTGCAAGTTTCACGTTGCACATAAATTTTTTTATACTGATAAAAAAATTCAGAGGTTTAATATATATGTGAGGAGCTTAGATTTTATATGAGACGGTTATATAACAAGGATACTGATGCTAATGGAAATAATTTTCGGGGAATATAAGGTGTGGTTTACAACACGATATTCGCATTAAAATCACAAACCATCCATGAGCAACATCCCGCGGAAAGCAATTAAGAATCAAATTACGCACTGTGGCAGATTGCCTCATAATATTGCGCCGAGTTGTCGCGACTCGTCGTCGCCTCAACAGCACGACTGTACATACGTGGCGCGCCAATGAAAACTGCGCGAGAGCAAGAAAAATCGTTATTAGCCATATTTTCTTTTTCTCTTGGTCTTTTTCCATTGCTGTTTTTCACGTGTGATCCGCATTTCCTACGAGGAGATCGTAGCACGCGATCGCAAACAATATTATCCGCTACAACAATAACAATGTGCAAACAATATTACAAAAAAGTTACAAATTATAAATATTGTTTTTCTATTTTGTATTTGTTGTGTTGTATTTAAAACTGAAAGATTTGTGGAAAATAATTGTGTGAAAAGGCGGCATTGATCCTAAAAAATAAAATATACATTCCACGGTGAATTCGCTATTGTATCGCTATTTAGTTTTCCGCATTTTGCACAACAAACACGAACGTCTTGTCCTGTTTCAGTGTGCAACATAACGTTAGACAGCGCAGCGCTGTTCAGCAAATCGGATCGTGGCTTCGGGCAAATAAAATCACCGTATCTTCAAGGACCCTCGAGGTGTACATACAGATTCGTGCCGGATACTGGACAGCGGGTCGAGCTGCAGATATATCGACTGGTATCCATCGGCCGGCACAACGGCACCGCGTAAGTAGCTTTTCGGTGACGCCTTTTCTTTCGATACCGCTCCCATATCGCTTAGAGGCGCCCTTTTGCGCGTCCGTGCTTCTTTATAGCCGCGATCGTAAACTTTATGGGAGAATATTCCGGTCGCGCTCACATAGAGTGTTCGTCCGATATTGCCATAATGCATGATCCTGTCAGTATATCACTTCTTACAGCGACGTTCTTGGTTATTTTGAGTATACAACAAAACCGTACATGGTAACATTGTTTGAAAGATAGTAGAACAGTCTCTTTCGTGTTTACATAATGAGAAGAGACACGTAAAAGAAGCGAAACACAATTTTTCTTTCGGTTTAACATAGACAATCTTTACGTTATCGAAGAGTAAAATCCTTTTAAATGCGTCTATCAATCACCACTTACCCGCAACTTATCATTGCGCGAAGAGAGAATCCTCGTTATTCTCGCGCGTGCGCGCAGTCAAAGAGGGACAGCGGACAGCGCGGACCGCGATATGATTGGAAATCGTTTCTCGTCTACGACGGTCGTTTCAATTTGTCATACTTCCGCTCTCTTACGAGACGATAGCGCTCGGCTTTCGGAGGAGAGTCCCTCTCGACTTTCGGAGATGGGCGAGGAGGTGAGAGTGATGTCGGTAGCAAACCCGCGCTACGCGAGGGTAGGGGATAAAAATTACTGTTTTCGGAAATCCTTCCGGCGCACCTCCGCCTCGTTCGTGCCGAGCGCGAACTCCGACCACGTTCGCGGACAAACTTTGCGGCGGGCGGGAAAGGTCTCTTCGACAAGCTCTGGAAAAGTTCTTACAATTTTTCGACAAGGCTTTTCCACCTAACTCTACCAACCCACCACCGCGTTCTACGCCGCGACAGCGAAGTTGCGGGAAGCTTACAATGCGCCGAGCATCATACGCGGGGGAGCTTACTGCAGTAGCTTTTGTTCCCGTTGTAGAATATGCAAAGTGTGCGCGAGCTACATATCCACAGGGCGGATGTGTGTTTATGGCGCGCGAGTGGCATGAACGGGAAATATGCGCCTGTGCTATTGCCATTGTTATTTTTTCCCGAAAGAAACTACATTTCCGTTAAATTTGCAGTGACAGTTCGCGGAATATTGTGCGCGTGCATCTGAAAAGGATTTGCGCAGAGCAATTGAACTTTTTGTGAATTTATTGCGAACAACAGTGTGTCATCCAGACAGGCAATATAATACATGAAAAAAAAAAAAAAAAAAAAACATTTTTAACCGGCGCAACTATAATTTTCATCGCTGAGTTGATTTTCTATATTTTATTGGACAAACAAATGTAAAAACTTTGAAACAGTTATATAGAAGCGGAAGATCTTCTGAACGCGCATCGTTAAAGAAATTCAAAAATGATACACTTGCGAAACATTTGGGTCGCGAGCGAAATGCGAATCTCTGCATTGCTCGCACATATTATGGTTCCAAACAACAAGACACCTCGTAAACGCCGCCATCTGTTATGTGCTAAGAGCGCTGCATTAAACGCGCGTATAAAAAAAATACAGAAGTTCGCACTTTTAAGTCCACTTGTTAGCGAGGAAACGGTCGGTAAGCTGAGAACGAAAAATATCGTTACTCTTGCCCGCACTGTCGGAACCGCTCGCGTTTCTTCCGTTTGCCCGCGCACTGCCGCGCTCTGAGAAACTGCAACGACCGGAAGAAACAGCGACGCTCCCGCGAACCGTATCGCGCAAATCCTCCTACACGGAAAAATATTGGCGCTTGATCGGTTTTATCGTGGAAAATCCTGAGGAATTTTAGTGCCACTCGTTGAACACACACACGCACACAAAAGCGTGAAATTTCACGGGTCATTTGCAATGCGTCTGAAAATCGCGCGCGCGAAAAATATTTCGCGCAAGTGGGAAAAACAGGGAACTCCGAAAATATACCAAATGATCGTGTAGCGCCAGCGCGCGCGTTACTTTCATTATTATTATTATTACGTATCATAGACCGAATTGACTTGATATCGTCGAAAGTGAAATCGCGGCAAATTGATATCGTGCAAATTTACAAGAAAAATATTTGCTCACTCTGAATTGTTTAATATTACTGTAGACATAATTGTGCAAATAAACGCGATTAAACAAGTACTTTGCCACAAAATTCTGTTTGTTAAATCGCGGGCAACAATCTTTCGAGCGAATTCAACGTTTACGAGTGGGATTGAAATACACCCGGTTTTCGTAGTTTACGCAGCGTATGACGCAAAATTAATATCACAGAGAAGCGCAGCGTGGGGAACAGAGAGTTGGCGGAAATATGACAAACGACACGTGTTACACGACGTGGTCGTGTAATACGTGTGTAGTTCATGCTCGTTAAGTTATAATTAATGTAACTTTCCGGGCTCTGTATGTAGGACGCCCATAACAGGTTCCTTGTGTTGTTTTGTGTCACGTTCACCACATCTTTCAAAGAACAAAAGGTTAATCACTAATTTTAAAGATTTAATTGTTATACATATTATCTATATTGCATTTTGAAGATTAGTTTTTTTTTTACTTTTTTTTCAACATAAAACTTAAAAAAATTTTAAAAATTATACATTACATATATATTATTATTTATCCGTAAACTTAAAGTAAAAAAAAAAAAAAAACGAAAAAAACGTTTCCTTGTGAATTAAATGTCTTTGCGACATTCCACAAATATTTACGCTTTACATAAATCGTTTTCCGTTTACACATTCCCTTTTCGGCAAATGCTCTTTCACGAAGGCAAATCATCTATCTTGCCGCTGTCCCACACAGCCGGACTTCCCGCGGTCCTTCTCGGACACTCGTAGGAGCTTGATAATGGAACGGGAATTTCGGGGAAAGGAACAAAGCGCGGGCCACTCGGACACCCCGTGTTCAGACCGAAAACCGGAAGATGTAGGTGCTCCTAATTCCGAATGCCCAGCCACAGTCGACAGTCACCTCAGTGTACGTGCACGTTCTCGATGAGACGCAATTGGGTCAGGTATCCTTAGTTGAACATGTACTTCATTTCACGAACATTTCTCAAACGATCCACGCGATGCGATATCAGCTCCAGCGTATTAAGTAACCGTTATAATCGATGACCCTCGTGTGAAAATCGCACCGCATAAGAAATTTTTTTTTTTTTTCATAAAGGCGTGTGCGTTGTTGCCGTTTAAAATTGATTTATTATTCGATTAAGTTACTATCTAATATTTACAAATAAAAGTATATATTATAAATAAATAAATCACGAAGAAATTCCATGCGATATATTCGTGATTTGTTTTATTTCGTTGTAAAATAATTAATTGCATATAAATTATCGCGCCAGTTTAATAACGCAAACGCGATATATGTTTGAGTTCTCGAGAATTGATTTGCGCGAAAACACAATACATGTGCTAACTCCGTGGAGATATTATCCTCACCCCTCTCCCTCCCGAGGGGGTAAAGCGCGCACTCTCAAATTAACCGTGTGGAATTAATTTACGGGCTTTATTGAACGCTATACAAATTTCGTACTTTTCCACTAGTAAACTTCTCGCGAAAATTGGTTTCGCGCATGACGCAGCCGGCGTGCGGATAATATGTTCGCCGCGAGCCGTCGAGATTGCGCAAATTAACCTGGCGAAGCGGAATCGCCGTCGGTGTTTCAGAAATCGTCCGCACACGCCGCAGCGGAATCGCTGCGTGTATCGTCCTTATATCTCTCACAATAATATAATAAATGTATCTCTGTGTATCTGTCTATCCGTCTATAAAGTTAATTAATTCGCGATAATGAATGGGGGGCGTTCGCCGGGGAATTTTAGCACTATGTACAGAAACGCTCGAATATTAATTTGCGAAATTGAATGATTGAATGATTAAATGGGATAGAGGGGAGATTAATTTAGATAGACGTGATATATTTATTCAATTCGCAGGGAAGCCGCATAGACGGTCTGCGGCGTAATATCCGGGTAATGAAGGCTCGTTTTATAAAGAGAGCTCGCGTTTCCGTCGAAAATCCCGCTCTTTCTTTCCCTTCTCCTTTCTCTCTCCCGTTTCGCTCCGAATATATTTATCAATATAACCGCGATGAAAAGTTAATTAAAACACATCTCGCGAATAAAACGCGAACTGTCCTGCACAAAATAACTTGTTGTCCGCCACTCGTCTCTTTCTCGCAAGAGAGACATTAATCTGCAGAATGCTGAAAAATTACCTTTACCGCGGCGGCGACGTATACACGGCTGTAATTAATTCATCGCGATATATTCGCGAGAGGACCTCTCTCTCCCTCTTTCTCACTCTCTCTCTCTCTTTCTCTCTCTTTCTCTCTTGTATCATTCGTATAAAGTATCTCGCGAATATCCCAGTTGGCTTGATGACGGATACGCATAACCGGGAGCGTGGATTTCGTCCGTCAACCTGAAAAGCGCGGCGGGTTTCACCTACCTCGTCGTGTATGCCATCCTGTCACCCTTGTGCCTCACTTTTCCGTCTTGTTCCGCCCGCGTACACGCGGTTGGGAGAAAGGATACGGGCGAGAGAATTACGTCGCTCAGCGGAATATTATTAAATAGGGTGGCGGAACAGAATGAGAGTATCGCCGACGATGGATGACCTTAATTTCACTATGATTATCGGGCGGCTCAGGAATTTGTATGAAAATCGCTCCGAGACCGTTTCTTTCACACGGATCCACCTACGCGTCTTCGATCGCTCTCCTCGATTTTCTCTCACACCGTTCTCGCGTCCTGTGTTCGCGTTTTTTTCTTTCTTCCTTTTTTTCTTCCACGACTGCCGCGATGTCATCGCTTTCTGATTAGTACCTCGTTCACTCCAATTTCGCATTTCGCGGCGAACGTCTATAGAATTTTTGCGCACTTTTCAAAAGTGAGAAATTACACCGATATTAAGGCGATATTAAAGCGCGGCAGCAATTGAAAGATTAAGAAAGAGGAGAGAAAAAAAAAACAGGATATACCTCCCGCGGGAATATCGAGCAAGATAATATTGTCG